ACCTATTTGCCAATATTGATAAAGTTCAGCAGTAATAATCAATAATTTTTTGTATGAAAGTTTTAGACTAAGATCAGCACAGTAGATATCTTATGGCTGGCCACTCATATCCGAGTATGCCTGTCTACTAGTGCCGCTAGCCAATCTCTGTTGCAGATGCCCGCTCAGGCACATTTGTGTTCGTTCAATGCCTGCAGAGCCCATTTGTTGTTTATACTGCAATTATGCTGAGTGGATCCTAGTTACAGTTTCTGAGAATGCATTTAGGAAATCTTTCATGTAAAAGAATTTTTCAGTAATGTAGTTTTCTCTAGTTCAGTAGCTGTTAGCACCCTTTATAGTATTGATGGGGATTTCCTTTGTAACATTTTATTTGTAGTAGTGTGCAACATTAACATCTTTATTATGTCATTATTTTCTCTTATATTTTAGCTGTTGAAAGTCATCAAGTGATATGGTTTCTGTTATAATTCTTTATTTGTGTTTCTGTCAGGCCAGGTCAATGTTAAAAAAATATATGATCTTTGCCAAACCCCTCAGGCTTTACTTGCTCAAAGACTTTAAGCATTGATCTTAGATAGTGGTTGTATACAGCCTACAGTTAAAATATTTCTGAAAAAGATTGGTGCCATGCATGAAATTCATATAAAAGTCTCAATCTGACAAGGCTATTTAAGATTGTGATCCCAATTTTCAGATTAATGCATTGATTTTGTAGCAATTAGTGTTGCTGGTGGAAACTAAGACAAAAAGGGCAAGGAAAGCTAGTGGGCCACTTATCTGACAAGTCTGTGTGAATGGATGTTGGGAATTATGGTAGACAAACATTACAATGAATTTCAAAGGATATGAAGCTGTGGACAGACATGATCCTAAAAGTTCATGGCTCATAGAAGTAGTATTAACAGCTATTTTTCTGCATGAATTTAAATTTAACAAGTACAGTAAGTAAAGATTGTTCTAGTCTCTTTTGACTTGAGATAACTGTCTTCTTTAAGCATAGAGATGATGATAATCATTCATTATTACTGTTCTAGCATTAGGATGCCTTTGTTGAGTTGAGGACGACAGGCTTGAAAATAAGGCTGCTGATGAGAATGATGCTAATGAAATGAGCCAAAGATAGAAAAACCATAATGAGAGACAAGAGAATGAGAATAGGAAAGACTTGATATCATCCAGGGTTAGAATAACAATCTCTGCTTTATTGGCATCAGATGCTTGCCGTCTCATTAATTATACATTAGGTGTGCTAGCAGAATTGCTGGCTCATGCAACAGCCCATTGCATTTCATTGGAGGGACTGATTCACCCTGCTTTAGCTTCAAATTATCCATGCGATATTAAGAAATTCTTTTCAGCAGATAATTGGCAAGCAGTTCCAACGGTGAGAAATGCTAAATGCCATTTATTTTATGACCAGAATAAGGCAACTGCTTAGAAAGACTTAATGGCTTTCAGATGTGGTGATTTCTTCCTCACTCAGATTTTAGTCTGTTTTCGATTCCTTAGAATACTTCAGCTTTCTTTGCCTTCTATCAAATACAGTCTCTAAAATTATGAACAGCATGAAACAAAGTCAGAATTCACAAGTTGTAATCTGGTTTAGTGTCATCGACTAAACTATGTCAACAAAAATTGACCATTTTCACATACAACAAAAAGTAATTCTTGAAAATAATCTATGTGTTGTATCCCTTCATGACCCGAGCAGACATAGCTCTCCACAACTTCTTATCCCTTGTAGTTCTTAGTAATATTTGTGCTTTTATCATCGCTCACACTCACTGTTCTGCTGTCCATTCACATAAACCTGTCAGGTTGGTTAAATTTTCCAAGCTCACTTTCTTCACTGTGTTCCAGAAATTTCAGTTTTCTCTTTCTGAATTGAAGTAAAAGGGTCCTATTTATTTTAATTTCCCTTAAAACTTCCGCATTTCTGACATGGTATCCTTCTGTAGAACCACATTTGTTACCACAAATCTCTTCATCTGTGAGACAATTTTCCACCTTCACTGCCATAGAGGAAGATTAATATTACATAGTATTTGATCACTCTTTTCTTTGTTTCTAATGAAATTTTCCTGTTTCATAATATTTTGCTTAGTTTCTTAAAGGAATCTTTTTCTATTCCAGTACACCTTTGGCTTTTTTTTTTTTTTAAATAATTGTAATAATCTCATCCAGAAAAACAAAATTTAAGCATAGATATAATATTTTTGACAAAGTAGAAAAAATATGTATGGCTTGTTTTTTTTTTCTTCAGTTACTATAACTTATCATAAGGTTAAGTTGTACAAACAATAATTTGAAAGTTGTTTTTTTTAAAGGATAAAATTATGTTTTTAACTTAAATTTTGACATGGGACAATTTTTTCCTTCCTTATCATTAAAGGCACTTGCAGAAATTCAAATGTCTGGGTAATTTACTAACAGACAGTGAGAAACATTCAAAGATGAATAGGAAAAACTATTTCTCATAAATTGAGCAAGAAATTGACTTTTAATGCCATGTCTTTTCATGATGTAGGTGTTCATGGCTCTCCACATATTCCCTTTTATTTCCTTCCAATGACTTCTTGAAAAAAATAGTGTAGTGACTTCTCATTGCCTTTTCTATAATCTTGAATTCAGAATATTCCTGGGTTCCATTGAAGGCTAAAGAGACCAGCTTACTCTGTGATTTAACTCATAACTGGGGTTGTGGAGAAGATATGGATTCATACTTTTCCCTAAATTAAACTCAGTTTGCAGATTTTCTGTTTCTATATCAATATCACTTACTTTACTTAGGTGCAGGTAGAATATTAAAGAATAATAATAATACAAATGAAGGTTAGTCCATCTGTCACCCCCTCTTAACCATACATTGACTAATCAAAGCCAAATGTTTGGGAGAAAGGCAAAGAGGTAAAGGAATACGGAGTACAGATGGTTTCACTAAGGTGCATAGCTTAGTACAATAAATTCTTAATTTTTGGGGAAAAATTAAAAGTTTTATTATTTAACATATAAAATACTGCTACTATTTTAAAAAAAACAAAACAATTTAATGATTAAAATAAGTACTTATAAAAAAATAATATTGCATTTTTATTAAAAATCTTACCTTTAACTTTTTTTATATAATTATACAAGAATCCAGTTTGTGAGAACTATAAATAAATCAAAAGGCCAAATACTACAAAAAGTTGAAATTTGGCTCAAGAAAGATTTATTTATGCATGGCCAGTTGTATGTTGCATGCTCAAGAGTAAAAAATCCTAAGAATTTATTCTTCACCATTTAAAAAGAAAACGAGAAATTTTCTTAAAAAATATTGTTTAGCATAATGTCCTACAAAATTAAATTATTATTGTCAAAGTATTTTTCCAAACAAATCAGCCAATTCAAATTCCATCAATTGATTTGTGAAATTGAACATAACAGAGTTTATAAATCTTAACAAAAAATGTTAGCAATAACTTCAAAAATACTAAATACTGATACAATTTCAACACACATCAGTGTGTTACAAAAAAAAAAAAAATTCTAGTCTCATCAAAAAGGGAAAAAATTCTAGTCTCATCAAAAGGGAAAAAATTCTAGTCTCATCAAAAAGGGGAAAATAAAAAGTGAAAGATCTGCACAATCACTGGTAGAAATGCATAACAGAATTTATAAAGCATGTGGCAAGTGAAGTTTTAAGGAGATTAGGTACTACGAAGAAACTGTGGCTAAAAAAATTAAACAGGGAATGGAAAGTTTAGGGATACATTATAAGAAAGTGAGACTTGTGAAATTTAATCATCACAGAACTCATGAAAAGGAGAAGAAATAAGAATAACCTACTGGACAATTTGGAAAAAATGGATGGATAAGCAAGTACCACAAAGTTATTCGGTGGAACACTGTGTCTCTGTCAGATCAATTTGTTGTGAATGGCAAGCAATGGTCATAATTCACATGTGTAAACTTTTCAGGAGGATATTCGATTTTAGCATGCAAAGCTCATACTTATAAATAAATCCAATCTATTGGCAGTGAATTAGTTCTTGTGTCAAATCTATTGTTCAAGAGTAGTGTATGGAATTTCACAGTGTCCATGTGTCATTCTTGGTCTATTGATGTGATTGTTTCTCCACTGTCACTATGCCACTGTTTAAATGCTGATTCTCCTCTGCTTATATCAGTAAATATAGGCTTGGCTTGAACACAATTTTACATTCTCAAACGTTGACTTAATTCTGGCATCCTGGGTATGACGATAAACTACATCTAACAATGAGGCCTGTTAGGGTCCCAGTTATGGGCAAATAGTTATACCCCAAACTGGAGTCAAAACATTATGAATTAAATTTTTGAAGAAAAAATATTACCAGCAATAAAAATCTTGTTGGCTTTAAATAATCATTGGTTTGTTTTGTTTTATGGCATATCAACCACAAGCTATACATTTTTGAAAAAAAAAAAAAAAAGAAAAAATATTACCAGTTATACATTTTCTGAGAAAAAAATTACCAGCTATACATTTTCTGAAAAAATATTACCAGCGATACATTTTTGAGGAAAAAATATTGCTAAAAAATTGTCAGCCTTAAAATAAATAAAAATATATATAAAAACCCTCTGATAATCCATAAAACCAAACAAACCAAACCTTAATTCTGATTTTATTACTTAACTGAAACTATGTTTGTATGCTGTTCACATTACAGCATCTAAATGTCTACATTAATTAATGCTTTAATCCTGGATGCATCTGTCCATGCATAGAAAAATAGAAAAATATTTTTGTAGATGTGACAACAATATCATTAAATTCACAAACCAAAGCTTTAATCATCTAGGCTGTAAATAATGATAATTCCTCATTCCAGAAATTCTGACAGAAACTAAGATGTCAAATGTTCATATATATATTTTATTCTGATCAGGTTGAAATGTCTCATATGATCTTTAGAGCAAAAATACTTTTTGTCCGTTTTTTACTCATCATTTTTCTGTTCTTTCCATTACAGAAGAGAGCAAATACAAGCCCATTTGCAAGAACCGATTGCAATATCCCCTCTATGAGAAGGTGCATTGCAAATGTGACCCTTTCCAGCCAATCACCATAGGAAATTTGTCAGAATGCATTATAGAAGGCCCTGAGAAAGTGACACCGACTGATATGATGGATACATCCAAACTTCTCTCACCTTTTCCACCGAGAGGACCGGAGATGCAGTCTTCAACTGAGGGCGAATCTTTCGACATGTCCAATTGCGGTGAAGGGAAAGCATACAAAGCCCTTTTGTGCCTTAACAGCAATGACATTTTGAAGGGCACCTCACAGTGTTCTCATGCAGGTTGGATTACTTCATTTTTTTTTTTTTTTTCTTAAAATTTTTAACAGAATAATTTGTTTTCTCCTCTCCTTTATAAGTGAAAAATCAGTTAATATTTACATTTCAATATTTATTTTGATTAATTTTCATTTTTTTTTTCATCTTGGGTGTATTTCTTTGCTCATTTTAATCTATTTCAAAAGATTTGATATATTTTTCACAGCATTAAACAAAGTAGTGTCATAAATAGCAGATTAGGCATTTATGCAAATACTGTTTTTTTAAGATATAAATTTTTTAATGAAATTCAAAGAAAAAAACAAAACCCACATTTTTCATAATTTTATTGAATTTAAATAATTATCCCCAGAATAATACTAAAGCATTAAAAAAATGACATCTCTGAATATTTTTATTATTATAAATTGAATCAACTTTATAAAGTCTTATCTTGTTGATAAAATAAACTCTATATGTGTCTACTTGTCCAGGAAAATATAACATGTAAAAAACAGCACAAAAATCTTCAGAACTTTTCATTTGACCTAAAATAAATAAAAAGCAATTTCAAAGTATCACACCTAGTTTATTTCTCTTTAAGTTCTATTCTTAGTTTATTTCTCTTTAAAATTTTGGTCAAATGATTGTAGAACCTTATCGGAGTGTGTGTGTTTCTTTGCCAATCAAAAGAACTGCCTATTAATTTTACCACTTTTAAAATATTTATACAAAGGAAAGCAAATAAATTATTAAGTGTTTAAAAAAAAACCCCCAAAAAACACTGCATATTCCTAATTAACATCAAATTATTTCCTGAGGAACAGAAAGATATCTGCATAACATTATTACAAAACCTTTGTAACAATTGAAGAAATAAGGAAAATAGACATTCTACTTTGAATATTACACCTAACAAGCAGAAGTATAATTTGAAATTTTTGTTTGAACTTTTGAGATAAAGGTTTATTATTATACCCTTATTTTCTCAGACTGGTGTTTTCATCATGTTGTACCCTCTGTACTCCTTCAGATGTCTATCATCATTGAAATCCCCAAAATGTTAGCAAACTGAACTTTTTATTTAATCCACAAAGGTATATTATTACAATTCAACTGTCTATCCTAGAGTGTATATCTGAATCAGTGGAGAAGACATCACAAGGATGGACTAATGATATCGATTATATCTCGTATTCATTCTAACGAATATTAAAATCAAAACAATTAACTCTTGTGGATTGAGCTTGGAATTACCAGTAGGTTTGTAACAGACACTTGGAAAAAGCCCAAGGATATGTTTGAAATGTAACAACAAACAAGAAGAGTACACTAGTTCAAGCAAATCAGTGTATACACATTAAAATATTAACATTTCATGTATTCTTCATTTTTTTTTTTTTTGATGTCAAAATGTTTCTATCACAAAATCAGAAAAATATATGAAATGAACATTTTCCACAAATAAAAAAATTGCTTCCAGTAAAACTTAAAATCAATAATTGGGAAATTTTTCTTTACAAAGATTCCTTATTATGTCAAAAATCTTGTCATTAAAACAAAAACTAATTGCAATTGAAAGGAAATGCAGTTCATGAGAAATTGGAGAGCCAAGTTTGAATCCAGGTTGGGTTTGTTGTATTCAAATTTCCTTGGGAAAGGTATAAATCCATTTTCTCCAGCTTAGGGTTAAATAGTAGGAATTGTATCTGAAAAAGTCCTTGTTATTCCCAATAATTGTTTATACAATACTTACCAAAAAAAATTTATTCTTACAATATTTCAGCTTTAAGTAACTCACAAGAAGTTGACATGTCGAAAAAAGAAAAAAAAGAAGTCAGTTGTAGATGAAAATCGAAATATTTTTGTTCAATCACATCATAAAACTTTCAAATTTGATTCTAAAATGTTGAGGTATAATAAAAATTTGCTTTGAAAAATTCAAAACATTAACCTGAAAACTCAAGTCATATTTTTAAATAGCCTAGTCAGATCAAGATTTTCATATGGATGTCATACATGGCTCCAAACTTGCTAAGAATGCCTTCTGTATAGAACCACTTTCTCAGATCAATCATTAAAAATGACTTTCAGTCAGTGAAACCTGTGGCTTTTGGTAAAGACCAACCTTCTTTAAAAATTGTACCAAATGACAGAAACCATCTCACCCAAGGTTTTTCAACAAGCACAACAATTAAAATGGATATCACATGTAACTTGAAGAGAAAATACTGAAATGATATTATTGTTCCACATTACATCAAACAAAAGGTTAAGAAGGAAATTCCCCATCAATACCGGAATCAGTGCTAACAGCTACTATATTCAAGACATCTATATTTCTGAAAAATTGTTTTTTTTAAATTTCAACTGAAAGTACTAGCGGCTGCTTGGTCAATGAATACTGAATGTTTCCTTATGAAATGGTTAATATTACCCTTTTTTGCAGTTGTAACTTTGTAGCTTGTGGAATCTTAAACCAAAAAATATCAGGCCAGTTTTGCCTTAAGAATTTCCCATTAAGCTATGTGATTGGCATGATTTTTTATTGTGTTTACTGCTGTGGTGTGAAGAATGTGATACAACAAAAAAAAACTTTCAAATTTTGAGGGAATAATATCTGTGCTTGTTTCAGAATAACTTAATAATACAACTTTGAAATACAATTAACTCTTTTTGTTACAACTGAATCTAATAATAACAATTGGGGATAGACTGTTACACGCTATTGAATCTGCTCAAGTAATGTTGTGAATTTTATGGAGCAAAGCTTTGAAATTAGTGATTTATTGTATGATTATTTTTTTTCATTTCTTCTCTGAGGAATTCAGGAAATAAATGAGTTCATTTAGAGGATTTGTCAACATAACTGTTACAATATATTAAAACTTCATCTTTGATACTATTACATTTACAAAATATATATATATATTTCCTACCAATTTTATTGCAATTAGTTTCATCAAATGAGCGTAAGATATTCATTAGTAAAGATACCTCTGTAACATTATGAATGCAAAATGCAAGAGAATAGGTTGAAATTAAGGATTAAGAAGAAAAAAAAAATCAATAAACACAGGTTGATGGAAATATATTTGATAAGAAGTTCCACAAAAGAAGGAGGATGTGTCAATGGCTTTTCATTGGCCCATGAATTGATAAATCATCATTGAGAAGATGAAATTTGCTGGTAAAAAAAGGAGATTTTTCAGTGAGAATTTTTGCCTTGAGTATATGTGGAGGTCTGGAATTGCTAGAATTGGGGAGTTTCTCTTACTCACTTCTCACTCTCCTTTACTCATAATTAGTTGGCAAAATCTTTCTTCTGGAGACAATATAAGTAAACAATACAGATTATATGAATTGTGCTGTTTAATATTTTAAAAAAATCCTTTCTCCTAGTGAAAAGATGGTTTATTTAACTTTCAGTAAGAAACAGAGTCAGTGTGACCGTTTTGTTTTTGGCCTGAAGACAATTGTGGAGACTAATGCTGTGACAACTAATATGACCCACAATGATCAGTTGCCAAAACCAGTTTAAGTCATATACTTTATCACATATGATAAGGATACACTCTACATTATATCCCAAGCATAACACTATCAGAATATGTATCATATTGATATTTAAACTTCTACACAGAGCTCACAAAGTCAGTTTAAATATCTGTTCTCTTAAAACTTCTAAGATATCAAAAATAAATTTGCCCTGGAAAGAATGGGTACATCCTCAAGGTAGTACCTAAGGGGACCTGTCCCTCACACAGAAACTCATTTGGCCTCCCAATTTGATTTGAGTTTGCTAATTCTGACAACACAAGCCATTTATCAAACACATTTGCAATGCTTGATATGGTTTCACTTTACATTTACACTAAAATATTTTTTGACCAATCAACAAAAAATTGTTTTGTTTTTTTTATTTATGACTTTTTTCAATTTGGACATCAGTCACTGACATCCCAAACATTAGCATAAAAACACTTTTACCCCTGGACCACTCAACTTAATGGCCTCCATTGAGAAGCCTGGAAAAGAGTTAATACACTTATGATTTAGGCATAATTGCATATTACCTTTCTTACTTTAAACTGTTTGCATTTCAATAACCTGAAATATTAGAGAGCCCAGAATACATGAACAAATAAGACTTTCTCAAGAGCTTATATCCAATAACGCATGTCTTCTTTATTTGATGCATATAATAAAAAGGCAATCTTTTTCATATTGTTTGATTTTTCAGACTTTCAGGATATTTCTGTGAAGAGAAGTTTTAATTAAATCCAATATAAAACATTGTGAAAGTTCTGTAAAAAAAAAAAAAAAAAAAAAAAATAATATATATATTTTGAATTTTTTCCCATATTGAATCCTTATAAGAAAAAGAGGTGCTGATACTTAAAACCAGAAAGAGACTATTGAAATTTCTGCAACACATAATTGAGGAAAATGGGCTTGGAGAATTTGATTCTCACAGGTCATATTGAAGCCAAGGGGGACAGATGGGAACAGTACATAACTGATTTAATAAGCTTGTTTAAATATATGGCAGAACAGGGGATGAAAAAAAAAAAAAAAAAAAAAAGAAAGTAACATTACTAAGGATAGGACATTGTGGCAAGCCATAATCATCCATATCTTGAAGTGATATGCCATTTCAAAGAAAAAAAAAAAAGACAAAACTAGGCAAGAATTCCCAAGATAAGGTCAGTGGAAGGATTCAGTTCAAAATTCCCTGAAGGTTATCTGGATCAACAAGAACCTAATGAAGACTAGAGGGTACAACAGCTGAAACATTGTGATAGTACCAACAGCAATAGGGACATTAGTGTATATGTAAATAATGTATTTTGGCTTGAAATATTTTGACATAATTTTCAATATTTCTAAGTGATGTTAGTTAACAATTCCCCACATATTAACAGATTCACATATTATTCTAAAAAGAAAGTGAAAACATAACTTAAAACCATCAACTAACTAAAAAGTTTCCCTTATAATTTTTGTCTATTTCCTTTTTCATA